TAAAAACTCAATTTTCAAGGATAATGCTAGAAGTACATCACCATCTACATAATGGTGTACATAATGCTAATGTGTCAATCATCCAGTCATAGATGTGTCAGTGTCAAATTTGAATTAAAGGTCGGATGATTGCCACATTAACATTATGTACACCATTATGTAGATGGCGATGTACTTCTAGCATTATCCATCTAACTACTGCTCGACCATTCATCATCTAATCCTCCAAAAGAATCCCCAATACCAAACAAATTTCACTACATCACACTCCCAAGTATCCATACGCGAAATCTCTCTGCGTGAGAAATTTTGATTTTTTGTCCATGGCTGGTATATTGGAAACCCTAACTGTCCCGCGCGCCTCCGCTCTCCAGTCCGCCTCCTTTGCTCTGGTAACCGGATGTTCCTTTTCTCGACGTAGCTCCGTTAAATTGTTCGAGTTTAGAGGCCTGAAGATCCAGCTGGCTCGATCATCCGCATCGCTGAGTTCACGTCCGAAACTACCTAGCCATGGTAGTCGAATCGTCTGCGAGGCACAAAACACAGCAGTTGAAGTTGAAGGTTTGTTTCTTAGTATTTCTTTCCTTCTGTCGTTAAATTTTGATTCAGTGCTCGATACTTTTAGATTGTGCGCTTAATTGTACGTTAGTGATGTCAATTATGCTTAAAGTGAGATGTAACCTATGACTTGTTCAATTACAAACTTTGGCCGGATTTCACTTTAAAAATAGGTGCTGGAAATTGTTTCTATTTAGAATTAGTAGTTTTGTTATACTTCGTTCAAAAATTGCATTTAACTGAAGCTTCTTTTTTTTTTTTGGAAATTGGAACTCTTTGAGTTCAGTGCAAACAAATACTACCCTAGGGCAACTTGAGTGATAAGTTTTGCTAATTTTTTACGGCAGGCTGCAAATTGGTGCCTATACTGCTAGGTTTCATTTGTAAATGTTGGCGTCAAAATCTTTTTTTTTTTAATTTACTAGTTACAGTGATATAGCATCCAAGTCACACATTAATCATTCTAAAGTCCATCTTCAGCCTCCCTAAACTCGGAATGAAAAGCAAATAGTTATTAATGATCTTTTTGTTTGGGTGCATTTTATTGCCATTGTGCCTTTTGAGTAATATTTCGCTATAAAAGCTGAGAGGTTACAAAGCTGCTGCTGCTTTTATTTTCTATTTTTTTCCCCCTGTGCTTGTATAATTATTCGAGAATTGCAAAACGGGTCAGAAAATGCTTCGGTAACATGAACATAAATAGCTTACGAGGTGTTTGTAGTTAACTTATAACACTTTATGGCCATTTCAAAGTAAATTNTGTTTGTAGTTAACTTATAACACTTTATGGCCATTTCAAAGTAAATTTTTTCTAATTTGATTGAAACTGATCCTGCAAATATGTGACTTGTGGTGAAAGAACATCGACATAACTGACATGTAATCCAAGTCGATTAGCATTCAAATTGCAAAAACTTCTACTTCAGTTGCCTCGTTTCCTTGTTTATTTACTGTTATTGCTTTTCTTTGGGTGCAATATATGGACTTGTTTTGACAAGATATTCTGGATACATGACACTGGTTTAGACATTTTAAAGGAAACCCATATTAGGGGAAGATTTTTGTTTAAATTTGCATTTTCCTTTCCTTCTCTGAAGTCTCATTAGTGTTTTCTTAAGAATATATTTCATGCAGTGTTAAAAGTTTATTCCAGACGTAGAAGAAATTAAGTTAATAAGGGCTTACTTTATGTTCTTTGTTTCAGTTATTGTAATTTTATAACAATTTAGTTTTGTTTCCTTATGTGGGACGCCCTAGTTTTCTTTATTTAGTCTATTCTAGACACTATTATAAAGAGTATCTTCTTCTCTTACCTAAATAACGAAGGTTGTAGATAAGTGAAAATAAGATGCGGGTCTATGATACATTGTGCAGTTTTATTGTTTTAACATTTCTGTATTTGTAATATATGGCTTGATTTTCACTTTGTTATGTATGTTGAGACATGTGAATTACATGTTCGGCAATTCATTCTGGCGATAACTTTGCTATTATGATCCTGCGTAGTGATCGTAATAGTAGTTTGTTAATCCTTGAATAACTGCAGTGCCTGGTATTACTGATGCAACATGGAAGTCCCTTGTGCTTGAGTCCGATTTACCTGTTTTAGTTGAATTTTGGGCACCATGGTGTGGGCCATGCCGCATGATCCACCCGGTCATTGATAAACTGGCTAAGCAATATGCTGGAAAGCTCAAATGCTACAAGGTTAATACGGATCAGAGCCCTTCACTTGCTACCGACTATGGAATCCGCAGCATTCCAACTGTTTTAATTTTCAAGAATGGAGAGAAGAAAGATGCAGTTATTGGTGCAGTTCCAGAATCCACATTGACAACCAGCATCGAAAAGTTTGTATAGATTGGTAAGTATATTAATGTGTTTCCTGGGAATTAAGCTGTCTCTCTTGTTTTTTTTTAATATATCTAATTACATAGCAAGAATGGCTATGATAACCTGATATGCTCCTGTATAGTTGATGTTATTTGATGTTTTCTTCAACATAATGTTAGTTATTAAAATTGTTGTTCGTTTTTCTATGCCCTTTATGTTGAGTGTTTCGAAAACAGTATTGTTTTCGTAGTGAGGCCTTCTATCAATCTGTAGAGAGAATTTTTTCAGCTCTGATTTGGGCCTGGAAGGATGCAGTTTACTTCACTTCGCTTGGTGTTTCAGAATTTATAGTCGAATACGCTATTCTGCCTCTGAGAATCTGGGAGAACATACCTGTAATTCCCGTTGTATCGTAACTTCATTCACTGCTCAGCTTTCAATTTTTTCAGTTTAAGCATCAACTCCATTTTCGCCATGGATTATGAACGCATTTTGCACGTGGACAATGACAATGCGTATGTGGCAAGAATATTTTGTGTGTTTTTTTTGCTTATACAGAATGTAGAATCTTAGTTCTAATGGAATATTCTTTTTCTTTTTTATTATTATCATCGCGTTTATGTTATGTGCTAAATAGTATTTCATAAATGCTTTTAGTTCTAAAAGTCATTTTTTTTAGAATTAATGCATATGTACAGAATGAATTTTCACAGAATTTCTACAGATGGGTCCCATGGCAAGTGGGCCCCGCGTGAATTTAATATTGCCAAAAAAATCGGACCCCACCTAATTGTGTGTATTCTGTAGGACTTCTGTGAATGTAGCATCATTCTTTTTTTTATAATGCCAAATGACTTCATAAAAGTGCTTGAATATGGGTTGTTTATTTTGTCAGATATCCAACGGAAGAAGTTTATCATGGTTGATTTATTTATTTATTTTTATTTTTCTGTATTTTGATTGTAAAAACAAGGGTTATAATCACCATTTTAATTAAAATTTCTCATTGTAGAGCATTACATGGAATCTGTTAATCACAAATCCACGTGTTGTAAAAGTTGAAGTTGGAGCAGTTAAATGTTAAGAAAATCTGATAAAAAATTTCATGTCAACTTAACAGAGAGCGAGGATTTTCGGTGCTATGTTCCATCAAGAAAGGTCTGTTAGATTGGTCTAATCGAGATAGACATGGGAATTTTACGATATATAGTGCACTGAAAATCAGTCCCAATCTTGATTAGAAGAAGCAAAGTTGAATAATGTTGTCTTGCTCGACGATTTTAACACCTGGGACAACGATTAAGCATGTGGCCAAAAATGATGGGATTGAGGTGTTGACGAGCTTTTAAACAGTCTAATGACAAAATGTTACGGGACATTCTGTCATTGAAGATGTTAAATCGTCTGGTAACCAAGTTAAGCAGAACTGAGAAAACTTTTGGTCCATGAGAGTCATGTGATAATCCTTAATCATGCTGTACGATGTTAAGGTTACGTGCCACTAAAATTTTGACGTTGTTAGGATGTAAATTGCTGGATAGCGCATGGGAAATAAATCTAGATTCTATTTTGATGCGAGGTTAACTAACCAAGATCTATTGAAGGAAATTGAGACTATTTTGAGGTCTGTCAATAGTGTTGAAAAGTGCAGCATTTTTTTGGTAAAAAAATCGGACTTCTATTTCGTTCAATTTGACCCTTTTGAGGACGCGCCTGAGGGTTGCCCTACTTGAGAGAAGTGAGTTTTTCGTGCATAAGAAAGAATAACCGAATTTTTGGACATAAATCAGTTGCTAGAGGAGTGGAAGGACGAGTAGGCTTGTAACGGGCAGCCTATAAAAGTATATTAATTTTAAACACGGAGTGTCCCACTTGAGAGAAGTGAGTTTATCGTATACCTATACAATAAAAGAGCCACTTATGAATCCCTATACAATAAAAGAGCCACTATTGAAAACACAATACACA